GGCGGGGGGCGTTGCGCAGGACCAGGTCCACGCTCCGGAGCGAGCCGCGCAGCGAGGCCCGGGCCCGCAGCGAGGCCGCCCTGACGCAGCCCAGCGCCAGGCGCGGCAGGCACCGCCGGCTGTAGGTGTCGGCCAGGAGCAGGTAGCAGTCGGCGGGCCAGGCGGCCTCCGGGGAGCCCCAGGCCTCGTGCAGGAGCAGCAGCCGCTCCAGGAAGGGCAGGGCCTCCTCCGGCTGCCGCAGGCGGGCGTGGTGCCTGGCCAGCAGGAAGCAGGCCCGGGCCTCGGCCTGCGGGCTCCGGCCGGCCACGGCCCGCCGCAGGGCGTGCGCCAGGAGCTCCGACCCGGCCTCGGTGCCGCAGCCGTGGCCGGGTGTCCCCAGCAGCAGGGCCACGGCCTTGGGCGTCACCTGTGCGCACCTGTCTCTGTTCCTCTGCTTCAGGTGGATGGTGGCCAGGCTGCAGTACACGGCCGCCACCAGGAAGAGGTCGCCGAAGCGGCCCCCCAGGGTGCCCAGCGCCTCCTCGAAGTACACCCGGGCCTGGGACAGCTTGAGCCGGCGCACGCACAGCCGCCCCAGGAGGAAGCAGACTCTGGCGAGGGCCATGGGGAGGCCGGCCTTCTTGGCCGCCCCCCGCGCCCGCGCCAGGAGCCCGGCCAGCTCCTCCTCGTCGGTGCGGCCGCCGCACAGGGCGCTCAGCCCCGGCAGGGAGAGGTCGTACAGGCCGCGGAAGCAGGCCTTGTAGCCGGGCGCGTCCAGGAACAGCAGCAGCGAGCCCAGGGCCTCCGGGTCGGTCCGGTCGGCCCCCGCGTCCAAGCAGAAGGGGGGCTCCTCAGGGTCCGGTGGGCTGGCGCCGCCGGAGGCCGCGCAGAGACCCCAGGACTCTGGCTCCTCGGGGCAGTCCTGGCGGGATTTGAATTCTTCCAGAACGTTCTTCACCTTCTGTAGGGTCTCGTGTGGCTCTGGGTCCAGGTGAGGTGATTCTGCAAATCACCAAAACCCCCGGGGTGGATGAGAGGCCGATCTGGGCCTAGGCCGGGGTAAGGGACAGACATCCCTCCGAGCCTCGGCACCCCTGTCGGCTGCTGCCCGAGCCTCCCCTACCTGAAGCCCAAGATTTACGCGCAATGCCGAGCCCAGCGCCTAGCACCCGGTGGGGACTCGGTCGTGGTTATGAGAATAGGGATCGATCTGGCCGAGCTTTTTGCCGAGTAACCCCTTCTGATGCTTCCTGTTTGAGAGCACCGCTCAGCGATCAGTGTCCTTTCCCCTCCAGGAAAAGCCACTTAACAGATGGACACGTCCACATTCCTGGCTGCCCCCGCCTCCGTGGGATTTCCTCAGCACTTGGGGGTCTCCCGTCGGGTGCAGGACTCCCGTGAAATCATCATGGGCCAACCAGAGCTATGGGGCAGCACGTGCTCAGAAGCCACCCCCAGAACTGACGAAACCCGCCTCGATGGAGGACAATGTTTGGGTCCCTGGTCCAGCTCTCTCCCGGGACCACGTCAGCGAGGACCCCCTGGGTCTCCACCTTCACCCTGGCTGCTTCGAGAATCTGAGGCCCACAGTTACTAAAGGGTTATAAGAAGGAAAGGGATGAGGCGCTGGAGAACCTGGGGGTACCCGTACCCAAAAGGGCCCGTGTGCGGGGCTGTTGGCTTTGGATGGGTCAGTACCCAAAGACACAGCCAACGAGCAAACAGCTACGCTTCCTGCTGGAAAAACATGGGCTTAAAGGGGAATTTGTTTGCAAGGAAAGAACCAGAATCTAAAGGCTCTTCTGTTTCGAGTTCACATAAAAAATATGTTCAAAACTAACGCTCTCTTTATTCGTCCGTAAAGTCGGGGAATAAAAAAGAATTCACTGTGGTCCAGCAGCAAACGTCTGACCTGACTAATCCGACGTGTAGGTGCAAATGCGCCCCCCCAACCTCGCTGCCCCCACCCCCTCCCATCCCGGCGAGTCCTGCCCTCCTCACCCAGCAGAGGCCCGGGCTGGACAGAGGGCCCGGAATGGCCCCGGATGTCCTGAGCCTCCCCATCGAGTACCCCAAGTGGCCCTTCCCCGTTTGCGCTTAGGTGGACCCCAAAGGGTCCTCGGGCATTCAAGTCCCCAGGTTCTCCCCGATGCAGACCTTCTGTGGGGGGGTCAAGATGGAGGTGTGGAGGGAGAAGGAGGGGGTCTCCCTTACCAGCTCCCAGGGGAAGAAGCAAATCTTTGAGGGGCTTCTCTAGCGTGAGACTCCAAATCCAGCACCCCCTTCGCCCTCCAAACCCAGCATTTCACTTTCTCAAAGCCAAGAGTTTCAGATGCTCTAGGTTTCAAGAAAAGAACCCATGGCCAAGTACAGGCCCAGGACCCCCACCTTAGCTGGGGACAGAGTGGGGACAGCCACGGCCCGGGCAGTGGAGGGGACCCCCCCCCCCTTAGCTGGAGGGCTGGTGTGTTGGCAGGGACCACTACCACAGCAGGGGGGGAGCTTTGCCCTCACCTCATCCCCTCCCCCTGCAGGACGGACCCCCTCCCGCCTTCCCCGACGGAGGTGTGAGGTCCCCGCACAGAGCCCCATCCGCACCCAGCTCTGTGGCTTCTGCCGGGCGTCATACCCCCGGGCCCAGCCCCTTGCCCGGAGGGACGCTGCCGTGTGGGGAGAACCCACCTTGTTCTTCCGGCGGCTCAAAGTCGGTCTCTTCTAATCTGTCTGAGAAGGGAGAGAACAGAGGCATCACCCTCCGGCCAGCACCTCCAGGTCGGGGCCATGTCGGGATGGGTGGGGACACCAGGACAGAAACACTCCAGTGACCTGAGGGGCTGCAGGGCTGGGGGGATCCCCTGGTCAAGAGGCCGAGCCCTTCCCTAAGCCTCAGTTTCCACCTCCTGAAAATGGGCTGACGTTAATTTGCTGGGAAAAGACGTGTGAAGTGTGATGTCAACTCTGACAAATGCACAGGGTCCGGGAAGCTAAGGGGCGCCTGGCGGAAGGGGGCCCCCAGAATGTCCCCCCGAGTGCGGGGCTGACATAGGTGCTATGGTCAAATTTAAGTTTGCCTGTTTAGGAAGAGAAACCAATTTGTGGGACCTGGAAAGTTTAACCCTGTTACTGGTGGAAAAGTTCCCGATGTGCAAGTCATGTCTGCTCCAGGGCCGTGAGGAGTGTATGTGTGCGTGCACATACGTGTAACTGTGCTCGTGTGTGTGCATAGATGTGTAGGTGTATGTGCGTGTGGATGTGTGTGCATGCATGTGTGTGCTGCCTTATTTGAGTGTGCACGTGTGTGCACGTGTGCTTCAAATGAGTGTGCTGCATGTATTGTAAGCGTGCACACACATGCCGCACGTATGTGTAAGCATGGGTGCACATGCGTGTGCGGCACATATGTGTGAGTGCGTGTGCACATGTGTATACTGTGCGTGTGTGTAAGCGTGTGTGTGCACGTGCATTCACCTCCGTGCACAGGATGAAGGAACCGGCTAGATTGCACCCCCGGCCCCAGGCAGTCCCCCAGCGGGTCTGGTCCTCTGTCGCCTCTGTTGCCGATGACACGGCTCCCGCCCCCTCCCCCCGCATGGCAGCTGACAGAGGGTCCTTCCTGAGCGCAGGGCAGCGCGGGGAGAGGGAGCAGCACCGTCTTTAGGGGCTGGTGGCCCTGGGGTCCGGCCCCGGTCCCTGGTGGTCAGGCAACCAGGCCAGCCCACAGCCACGCGAGCCCGGGCTCCTGGTCCTGTCACGGAGGGCGGTCACTGTCGCCCAGACTGGCGGAGCAGCAGCTCGTGGGCAGCGGGCCGGCCCCGGTGCCCGGCGGGCACGCCTCGCGGCCACTGCGGGCGTCTCCCTGCCGCTCGCCCTGTCCCCCTCTCTGCCCCTGGCCCGCTGCCGTCCCTATGGGCCCCTCGGGCAGCAGCAGCACCTGTGCGGTCACCTTTAGGTGCCCCGGGGCGGGCCTTCTCGAAGGGACATGGGGAGGGGCGTCCTGAGCGGAGCACGGAAGCAGAACGGTCCGCACTCCGCGGAGGGGACAGGAGCCCGAGCAGGCCCGGTGCCGGCCGGCTGGGTCTCGGGGTCTCCCGGTTCAGCTGCAGACCCTCTTGTCCTTCTGGGAACCTGCCCACAGAAACCGTCCTAAGCACCCAGGGTCTGATGCAGGTCCTGCGACGTCCCCGCGGCCAGGAGGAGGGGAGGGAGGAGCCGTGCCCCCCGCCCCCGCGGCGCCCTCACACCTACCCAAGCTGTACACGGTGCACGTGTCCGCGCCGGACATCCTCCTCAGCAACTGCCTGGCGTCCTCGTCCGAGAAGCGCCCTTCGTTGCTGAAGAACGACCTTTCTTCCTCATCGAGAAAAATCACGTCTTCCAACCTGGAGAAAAGAAGGTGCTTTATTTACAACGGCACGTTTCCTGCCCAAGACCCCCATCTACCCCCTGGTGCGACAGACACCCCCGTCACACCTGCTCTGTGCCCGGCAGCCAGGTCACCGGGACAGAAACAAAATAGATCCGGCCCACAAGGCCCGTCTGGTCCAGCTGCAGGCGGACGGCCAGGGGCGGGAGAGGCTGCTACAGACACGGCGGGTCGTGGCAGCCGGGGAAGGTGAGCTCCTGGGCAGCCTCCAAAGCCCCACGTCAAGTGCCCCTTCCCCTGTGAGGCGGGTGGTGACGGCTGCAGGCAGAATGTACGTATCGCACGTACGTGTGTGTGCACGTGGGCGTGCACAAGTGTGTGTTACAAATGTGTGCGTGTGCACGTGTGGATGTACGGGTCGGCCCCTTCGCATCGCGAGCTCCCGGGCTCCCCACGACGCCCAGCACAGAAATGGGGCGCTCCTGTCCCCGCCAAGTCAGGGAGATGAAAAACGGGAAGGGGAGAAGGGAGAGAAGGAACAGGCATTTTTCGCTCGTGGGACGAAATCACCAGCGTTACGCGAAACTCTGAAACGCGCCTGGAAACTGGAAGGAGCTATTTTGAGACGTTAAAGAAAATCTCAGAGTAGCTTCTGGTACATTCAACAGAACAACAGGCCCGTGTGCCTCAAAAACGTCAGTGTCCTAAAGGACCGCGAGACGAGGGAGGAGAGGCTGGTGGCATGAGGCCTGGAACTTTCTCTGGTTGTCCGGGACACGACCGGGACGCTGGCAAACCCCGAGTGTGGCCTGCACCTGCAGGGCGCTGTTCCGTCACCGTCCCGATCCCGAAGGGCGCGCGGCGGTGCCCAGGCGGGCGTCCTGGCCTTAGGAGACACGTGCCGCGCCACTCGCCGGGAAAGGGGTGTCCTGCTTACAAGCCACCCCCGACGGCGTCAGTACGAGAAGGAAAAGCGGAAGACGAATGTGACAACGTGCCAACCCTTGGGTGACCGGGGGGAGGGATTACGGGAATCTGACGCTCGTCTTGCAACCTCCCTAAATCTGAAATTTTGCCAAAATAAAGGAAAAGAACAGAGGCACCAGGAGGTGGTTCATTAAACAAAGGATGAAAACCCAGGGTCTGGAACAGGGAAGATGTGCAGTCGACGTTTGTGGAGCGAACGAGGGGGTCCGCGGGGCTTTTCCAGGCTTCCTGCCCAGGCCGCGGGACGTCGGGGCCAGAGGACCCCTGAAGACGGGCGTGGGAGGCCAGGTCCAGACCCAGTAAAGGCCCTGTCCCTACGCCCACCTTCTCTGGGCTCATGACTGAGGTCTTGACAATGATGCTTCAAGCCCAGGGGAACGGAATTGCCACCCAAGGATGGGCACAACTGTGCCCACTGACCGCTCCCCCAAGGGCACCCCTGCTGCTGCCCAGGGCCGCACCGTGGGGACACTCAGAATTCTCAGAAGGGCAGGGGCGGGCATGTCACCAGCAGGGTGTAGGGGGTCCCACAGGGAGAGGAGCAGGTCCCCAGGGATGAGCCGTCGGAGACGGGGCCTGGGAGCCAGTGAGAGCCCCAGGAAAACTGGAGGGCAGGGATGGAGGGGGTGTCTCACGTAGGGGCACACGTGTCAAAGCAGACTCGTTCCGGAAGGGGCCTGACGGCAAGGGGCAGCCTTTGACATCGGCGGTCCCCAGGGTCTGTGTCGTGGGGGGCCTTGAAGGCCAGGCCTAGAATCTCGAGCACCTGACTTCGGCTCAGGTCATGATGTCGTGGTCTGTGAGTTCGAGCCCCGCGTCGGGCTCTGTGCTGACAGCTCGGAGCCTGGAGCCTGTTTCAGATTCTGTGTCTCCCTCTCTCTGCCCCTCCCCTGCTCACACTCTGTCTCTTTCTCTCTCAAATTTAAACATCAAGAAAAGAAAAGAAAAGAAAAGAAAAGAAAAGGGAGTGGCAAGGTGTATGGGGGTGAATAGTGTCCCTCAAAATTCATGTCCACCTAGGACCTCGGGAGGTGATTTATTCAATGAAGGGTCTTTGCAGATATAAACAGTTGAGGTGGGGGTCACACTGGGGTAGGGTGGGCCCTAATCCAGAGACTGGTGTCCTTATAGGACGAGGCTCGGAGACACGTGCTGGGGCGAGGAGGCCGTGGGAAGACGGAGGCAGAGACGGGGGTGACGTGGCCACCAGGAGCTGTAAGGAGGGCGCCTCCAGAGAAAGTGGGGCCCTGTGGCACCTTGACTCTGGACTCCTGGCCCCGTGGGCTGGGACAGAATCTCCACCTGCTGAGCTAAGCCCCCCCGCGTGGGATGCCGTGTAGTTCAGAGAACAGCCCCGGGCTGCACTTGGAGGAGGGACACGAGGAGTCCAGGTAGGAGGCTGACGCCAGCCCTGGGGACAAGGGAACAGGCGCCGGGGCGGTGGCGAGGGGGAGGGTCAGGGGTGCCATCCGGGACCTCGTCCACGTGTGTCACCAGGCTGCCCCCCGGGGGTAGGGGAGCGGGCTCGGGAGAGGGCAGGGCCTCAGCCACTCACTCAGACACTTGGCCCTGCACACTGATGTCACTCGTGCGCACAAACCCGACCTGGCCCGAGGCCGTGTGCCGGCCCAGGCACCAGGGCAGGCCGGGCACCCGGGCGCCCAGGACCTCGATGACGTCACCGCCTCGGAAGGTCAGCTCTTCAGGCCCGGAGCCCTGGTAGTCTGCCACTGCTGAGGCCAGGCCCACCGCTGTGGAAAGGAGGCCACGAAGTCAGTGCTGGGGGCGCAGCCCGGGGCTCTTGTCCAAGAACAGCTGGTCAGGGTTGCCGCGAAGTGTGGCCGCTGCACCCAAGGGGCTGGACATCTAGGGGCCCCCGGAGGGGGCGCTTCCTCCGCACAGCGAGCATGGGAAACTGAGGCCCAGAGACATTGACTAACTTGGCCCGGGGCCGCCAGCCCCGGGCTGGCCCAGGCTCTCCCTCGGGGCCTCGCAGCCACTTCACGGGTATACAGGGCCCTGCCAGCTTGGGGCAGAGCAGAGAGCACTGGACCAGGAGCCCAAGTCAGAGCCCCACTCTGGCCTTTCGGGAGAAGACCCAGCACCTAAGCCTCCAGACCCTCATGAGCTCACACGGCAACATCAGCGGGAGCCTAGCCCACCCGTCCCAGGGCCCTCTGAGGTGTCTCAAGTGTGGCTGGAGAGAAAGCAGTGCTTGATGGGTGCTCTGTGAATGGGACCCTCGGGGCTCCCCGGAGGCAGCGACGGGGACGCGGCCCGGCTACCCCGCACCCCGTGCGACAAAATCCGGGCCAGCCGGTGGACCTCTCTGAGCTTCGTTGTCGCAGCATGAGCTGCAGGGGATTGGGAGGATTCAGGGCGAGCACAGAAGCTTCCAGAATGCGGGTGCCTGCCCCTCCTTGCCCACGCCTTTCCCAGGGGAGAAAGGCCAGCGAAAGCATTTACCCATCAGCGGAACGTCTGACGTCACAGGGCCGCTCACGGAGTCGTCGATGGGGTCCCAAGCGACCCTGAGGGCCCACCTGGAGGGAGACAAGAGAGGATTTCAGATGTGAGGCGAGTGGACGATGCGTAGATGGGATAAGTCAGCAGCCCCCAGGGACGCAAGCAAATTTCACCAATTGCCACCACTATGCACATACAGGCACACACACACCTGCCCAGGTGGGCAGCCTCAGACCTTGGCATGTGGCCGTGCCTGCAGGGAGTCCCCTGCCCGTCCTCCGGCTGGCCTCCTGAGAAACCTCCCTCCATTAGCCCGGGGCAGCAGCCAAGCCATTGCCAACTACTTCACAGATTCTAAACATCAGGTCATCGACTTTCTCTCTTTGCTTTGGCTGCCAGGAAGCTCCAAGCCAAGTTAACGCCCCACGCTCAGCTCCTGAGCAAGAACTGGCATGCTACCCAAGCTTCCTCTGCCTTGGTTTTCATTTGTACAGATTTCCACATGCCTCCTTCCTACGGGTGCACGGTAGGCAGCTGGCTCCCTCAAAAGCTTTTCAGAACGAGCTAGAACACGAAGCAAGAGCTCCACGCTGCACAGCCTGGTGCCATCGAATGCCAGCCCTGCCAGGGAATGTCAGCGTCCCCGGGCAGCTCGCAGCCCTGAGGCCCAGAGCTGGGCTCACTGTCACGGCCACACACCGGAAGCAACAGACAGGGTCAGGACCGGGTCTGCCTGGAGCACCGTCCAGCCCCTCTGGCTGAGGCTGGACCAGCGCCTGGGGGCGGGGGGCGCGGTGGGGGCTCCAGGAGGCCTGATGACACACAGGACGGGACCGGCCGGAAGCGGAGACACAAAGGTCGGTACCTACTGATGAAATGGAATCAGAGGTTCCGGAGCGGCCACCGCTGCCGTGTCCTGGGAGCACGTGCCGGGGCTGGGCGCCTTAGAGTCCGCTGCCGGGGCTGCGTCTCCCTGGGGGACCCCCGCGGCTCGCCTCGGGGGCTGCGGGCCTGCGCCCCGGGGGCTGGTGGTCACTCTCACGTGGTGGTCGGGACACAGGACAAAGAAAGGGCCTTTGAAGTGACAGACAGTGGCCTTCAGTGTGGGACCCACCCGTCCCCACCAGGCCGCACGCGTGCAGGCAGTCCTGCGGGGTCTCCCCAGCCCCGGTCTCTGCCGCCCCCCCTCCCCCCCCGGACTGGAAGGCCGGCGCCGGCCTGGAGTCCCAGCTCTGCTCACACCTGCCCGGGGAGCCTCGCTGAACCTCAGACCCTCGGGGCCTCAGTTTCCCTTCCTGTGTTCCCCAGGGTCCTGTCTGCCGGGACCACTGCCGGGAGCCCGGCCACAGCCGGCCGGCCGCCTTTCTTCTCGTCCGCAGCCAGGGCGAGACCGGCAGCTGCGTGTTGTGTCTGCTGCTGACCCGACCCAATGACGAGGCCACCTCGGCGCTCAAAGCAAGGCCGCATCGGGTCAGGACACCGGGATGGCGGTGCCACTTGGCAGAAATGCTTTTTCTCTTCTTTCCTGGGGGCCTGGCCAGGTTTCTACAGCGAAGTGACAGGGCCTGGGCGCTTCATGGCTGGGGTCCCCCCCACCCCCCGCACGCTCCTCCCTGCACGAAGCCCCCGTCCGCCCCGGAGTGCACGCCGGGGCCTCCAGGACCCTCCTGCGGCCCGTGGCCCCCGTGGCCCCAGCATGGTGTGCCCCCGGCCGACGTCACCGTCACCATGCAGCGCTCACCCTCCTGGGCGAGGAGAATCTCCTGTGTCCGTGTCAAGGCCTCCTGGTCCACGTGGACTTGGATGGTCGTCTCCTCGTCTTCGCTGGGCGCAAGCAGCCAGAAGGCCTGGTCCACGAGCAGGTTTTCCAGGCAGTGGTGAGTGAAGCCTGGGGGCCAGACGGGCCTGGTGACCGGCAGGCCCCAAAGGGAGACACGGAAACCTTCACAGGCCGGCGCGGGGGGGGGGGGGGGGGGGCCCTGCCCTGCCCTGCCCTGCCCTGGGGCCTCGAGGTTCCGTCTACAACCCAGGCAGCCCCAGGTCTGACCACCCGGGCTGTGAGTGGACCGGCCGTGACCGTGGGCGACACACTGGCCTTCTGTGACCCTCCGTCTCCTCGTCTCTGAGACGGGAAAAGAGCCTTCGAGGTCGCGTGTGCTGGGGGGTTGGCACAGGCCGCGCTCAAGGTGTGCAAGACGCCGTTGTTCTCATTGTCCACTCTGTCTGTCCTCAGACCCAGGTGGTGGGGCGAGGTCCCCGAGAGGACGCGGCCAGACCCTCGCGGATGCCTCCCAGCGGGCTGGGGGCGCTTTAGAAACAGAGCGCTTTGGACGAGCTGGAAATAACCCGGTCTGTGCTGAGCCCGTCTGAGCTCAGCGTCCCCTGAGGTCTGGCCATGCAAAGCTACCACACGGTGCAGCGCTGGGAGGAACTCGGAGCGCGGCCCAAATGCGGGCACTGATGGGCGTGCCTCTGTGTCCCCACCCATCACGCCATTTCCACCCCCCCCCCCGAGAGCAGGTGAGCGAGCCCCACTGCCCGGGCCGTCGTGAGCAACCCTAACCTGAAGCCTGATCTATGATATAACATGCTAGGCGTGTGACAAGTGTCCTCGGGGGGGCGGGGGGGTCCCCATAACCAGCTCTGGGAAGGTCACCTCCTTACCAAGAGCGTGGTAAGTGGAGAACTTCCAGATCTCTTCGAAAGTCTTAAACGACACCACAATCCGGTCCTGGTCACTGTGGATAGACAGCAGCCTGGCCGATAACTCCTTATGGGGAAGAAACAGTCCCGGGGGCCGTCAGGCATCCGACGGCCGGCAGGACGGAGCCGCTCGACAGAAACATCGTGAGAAATGACCCAGGCGGGGGCGGAAGCACAGAGCCGATTCCTTGACAGCCCGAGGCCGGGGCCCTCGAGCCAGCCGTGGCTCCCCGGTGCCTCTGCCCAGCCCCGCTCCTTCCCTGAGCCCCTGGGGGCTCAGACCCTGGGCCCCGCTCTCGGTGACTGCGCACCAGGGACAGCAGGCTCTCGGGCGGGCTGCGCTCTCAGCCCCGCGCAGCCCCTTGTCTCCCAGCCCCTCCCGCGGCACTGATGCAGGTGGCCACGCTCACCCTGCACCCGTCTCCTCTGACCCCCGTCCCGTGAGCTAACTCCCCTGCTGGTGATGGGGCGTTGGAATAACACCAGCAGGTACGAGGCGCAGCGTTGTGGGTCCCGGGGAAGCGGAGCTACCAGGGCCCCACCTGACACGCTGACGATGGAAGCCACTCTTCTACTCGGGAGCCCGACCCTCAGTAAGCGGCCCGCGCAATTCGGCCGCTCGCCTGGCCCCACGAAGGGCGGCCAGTCCCGGGGCACCGCGCTGGTGCTCGCGTGCCGTCTGGACCTCCCCCTCCTCCCGGGGCCACCCCTGGCCTCCCTGCTCCTTCGCTCCCGCGGGCTCGTCTTCCACCCAGAGGAGCCAGACTCACCCCCAGCACGCTGGCCACTTCCCGGCTGTCATTCTCCAGCAGGCGGAGCCGGGCCCGCATTGCCCGCCGCAGGCTGGGGTCTGGAAGCCCCGTCTTCCTCCGCACGGCCAGCAGCTGCAGGGTCAGGTCTGGAAGGGGCCAGCGCCCAGCGAGCACTCAGCAAAGTCACGGGAGTCACCGTGACCTCCAGCCCCGACCTCTCCCACCGCCGAGCTCCAGACGGGGGCCTTCGAGTGTCAGCAGGCCCCCCAGAACCCACGGTCCTGCCCCCAAACTCACCCTCCCGCCTCTGTCCCATTTCCAGAAGGGCCCCCAGCCTCCTCCCTGCAGACCAAGGACACCTCCCTGCACCACACGGCACGTGGGTCCACCAGTGAGCTGTAAAACCAGGCCCCACCCACCGTGGCACCCCTCCCTGGGGCCCCGGGTCACGCCCCCCCCCTCCAGACCATTCTCTGGTCCACGGAGAGCCGGGGGGGGGGTCCCTGACACTGAGCTCTGGCTCGCTGTCTGCCCCAGCTCTCGGCACCCCCCAGGCAGTGCCATCCGGTGTCCTGAAGGGCGGCTGCCAGCCGTGCGGGGCCGTCGAGCTCTGGAAATGTGGCCAGTGCATCCGTGGGAACTAGATTTTAAATTTTATTTAAGTTAAATTGGAACAAAAACTGCGTGGCTGTATTGGATGGTGCAGCTGCAATTATTTTCTATTATCAGATAAACTAAGACACAAACCCTTCCCATCTTCCCACCAGCAGAGCCTTGAGCCTCTGGCCCTGCTCCCCCCCAGCCTCTTCTGTCCCTCCCATCTAGCCTGCGGCCTCCCTGCTGCCCTAGGACAGGAGGACATCCCCCACCCTGCCCCAGGGCCTTTGCACTCACCACATCCTCCACCTAAAGCACTCTCTCCCAGATCAAATCCCGGCCTGCCTGCCCGGCTGCCCTACAATTCAGATCTCGGCTCAAGTGCCCCAAGCCCACCCCCGCCCCTGTCCTCCTAAGAGGCCTCCGAACCAGGCTACGGAGATCCCCGGGGCATGGACTGCTCCAAAGAGGGGGATGATGCAGGAGGAGAAGAGAGGGGGAAGGGAGAGAGAAAGGTGGGGGCGGAGAAAGAGAAGAAGGGAGATGGGGAGGGGAGTACAGGGGAAGGGAGGGGAGAGAAGGGCGGTATGGAGACTTCTGGAACCTGGAATCGGCCCCACTCCCCCAGCAGGAAGCGTGGCCGACATTTCACAACTGGTTCTAAGATGTGCCCCTGCTCCCGTAAGAGGGCGGGGCTGCAAACCAGACCCAGAAATAATCTGCCGCTTGCTCAACGCGCCCGGTCATCCCGAGTGACCACAGGCAGAGCCGGCTGCCCGGAAGGAAAGTCGGAAGAGGAGGGTGGCGAGGCAAAGGTGAGCCACTAACAGCGCCGGGGTTCCTGTGCCACCACAGCTGGGGGTCAGCAGCAGGGGCTCAGGGGTAGGGGGCTTCTGCCCGCCCCTTCCCCCCACCACCCAGGGCTGCCTCCCGCATTTGCGCCCCGCAGAAAGCCCCCTGGCCCTCGGGGCCCCCTCCCCAGAAGTCAGTCCTCGGCCGCCGCTCCCAAGGGCCCTGCTCCTTCCTCTGCGTCCCTAACCCGGTCATGTCGCACCTGTGACGCCTCCCCAGAGTGTCACTTCCCCTGCATGTGGTCCAGCCTACTGGGCCGTGTCCCCTCCTCGGGCAGATGCAAACACAGACTCCACAGAAGCCCTTTCCAAAGGCAGACAAACTCCAGCCTTCGGGCCCCAAGTGGAAATGCAGAGTCCTGGGCCCTCCCCCAGCGGGGCTGGATGGGGACCTGGGCACGGGACCCGGCCATCTGCATCTAGGCAGTCTCCCTACCCCCACAGCGATCCCCAGGCGGGAAGTCTGGGGACCACACTTTGAAAATCACTGGGTTAGGGGCGCCTGGGTGGCTAAGCGTCTGACTTCAGCTCGGGTCATGATCTCACGGTCCGTGAGTTTGAGCCCTGCATTGGGCTCTGTGCTGACAGCTCGGAGCCCGGAGCCTGCTTGGGATTCTGTCTCTCTCTCTCTCTCTCTCTGTCCCTCCCCTGCTCACACTCTGTTTCTTTCTGTCTCAAAAATAAATAAACATTAAAAAAAAAAAAAAAAGAAGAGAAAATCTGTGCGTTAGACTTTCCTGAACCCGCAGGCCATGGGACAGTGAGGGTGGGCACAAGGGGGGCGCGCAGGGACCCACATTCACGTCCCCACCCACACTGAACCCTGTGGCGCCATGTGACATGTGAGGACATCTACCTGTGGGGCAGGTTCCCATCTGGCCGGGAGGGGTCCCAGCAGCCGGCCCAGAGCCGCCAGGGGCCGGGGAGGCATCTGTAACACAGCAGGTTTGGGGATCAAGGTCAGAACAGGCACAAACCCCCCCCAATATTTCTGGAGGAAAAGAGGTGTGTCCGCACACCTGCGAGGGGAAGAGGACGGGGCGGGTGTGAGGGTCTCCCTGTGCTGCAACAAACGGCACGAGTGTTGTCTTGCTGTGCCGGAGTCTAGAAAGTTCTCACCGGCTAAAACCAAGGTTTCGGCAGAGCCGGCTCCTGCTGGAGGCTCCGGGGGGTGGGGTGTGGGGGGCGGTCTGTCGCCAGCTCGTCCGCCCCCCTCGATCTCTGGTTCTTCCTCCAGTCTCAGAGTCAGAAGCCTGGCAGCCTCAGTGTCTCTGATTCTGACCCTGAGGTTTTTTTTCCCATCTCAGGATCCTCGACTTACTCCCACCCCTAAAATCACTTCTGCCATACGTTCTGGGGATTAGGACGTGGACTTCTTTGGGGCCACTGTTCTGCTGACCCCAGAGGAGAGGTGACAGCCCGGAAGGAACCCAGAGTCCGGGGCAGACAAGGCTGTGTCCTGTTCAGTCTGCACCAGTCGCTGACCGAGGGCGAACCGCGCCCCCTCGGCCTCGTGAGGTGAGTAGGGCGCGGCTGACAACCCGGCTAGGGTTGTGGAGACACCCCGAAGTGCAGGGTCGGTGGAGGGGGCTCACGCGGGGGCCAGAGGGGAGGACGGGCTCCGCAACTGAGCGACAGCCAGGAGTCTGCTGACCGGGCAGGTGTCTGACTGCGGGACCCCTCCCCCTTGGGTATCGGCACCCAGGAGGGCCACCCTGGCCCCTTCCGTGTCCCTCACACCCGGAAGGACCGAGATGACAGACGTGATGTGCCTTGTGAAGCTCTGTTCCCATCCTCCCAGCGCATCCATCATCCACTGGCCACTCAGCTGGGCATCTCCTTGGGCAAGCCCCCTTTGGGAGACCCCCAACGGGCAGCCAGGCAGGGGAGCGGGAGGAGGGAGGAGACGTGAGGACAGGGGAGCCTGGGGAAGGGCAGGAGGCACAGGCCGTCCCTGCCTCGGGGAGGGTCTTTCCCCTCCTTCCCTCATCTCCAGAGCCCAAGGAGGTAGACAGCGGGGTCCTGGAGATCCCCTTGCCACCCCTCAGGTTCCCAAGTGGGGAAACCGAGGCCCAAGTCAAGCCAGTGGCAATCAGGATTACACCAGGGCCCGGGCAGGAGCGCGGCCATGCTTCTCAGAACAGCCTCCTGAGCCCACGTCTCTGGGTTCATCTCCCCCCCCACCGAAAGAGGCCCGGCCTGGTCCTTGCCCGGTCCTTCCTGGCCACTGGGCCCCTCCCAGGGCATCCTCCTCAGAGGAATGGGGCGGTCCCATGCTGAGCAACCCCAGGGCTTTATGTCCTGAGGACAAAGCAGGACTGCGGGAACGCAAAGGTTTGTAACAGAGCCATTCATCGAGGTGCAGCCGTTCTAGAACTTTCCCAGCCCCCTTCCCCTTCGCCACGCCAAGTTCTGCTATCGCGGACACGCGCCCCTGGAGACACACTAGCTGGGCCCCCGTCTCTCGCAGGGTGAGCGGGCACTCACTGGGCACGGGACTCTGTTTCGACACACACCCTGGCCGCAGACACGGCTCCGTCCGCGGGCGGCTGGACAACAGGGAGGACGGCCCGCGCTGTACTCACCACCGCTGACCACAGCCTGGGCTTCCTCGGGCCCCACGCGCTCCCAGGCGACCGACGAGCTCACGGCCACTCTCTGGACCTCGTGGCCGCGGCCACCGCCTCCCGAGGGCCCCGCAGGCCCCCTCCCCATCGGGGCCGGCCCCTCGCCAGCCGCGTCCCCTGGACCCTCCATGACGGGCGGCGGCACCATCAGCACCGGGGGCTCCGCATGCCCGCTGGCCGCTGTGGGGAGAGCAGAGGGTGGTGGTCAGCGCTGAGGCCTCTCCGGGAACACGGGTGCCCACGGAGAGGCCGCCACAGGGGCCGGGGTCAGGAGAGAAGCCTCCGCTTTGCCTGGAGGGTGTCTCCGCTTCCTTTCAGAGGTCTGTCCGTCTGTGCGCTGCTGCCTCCCCGGCTAGGACGACCCTCCGAACCCCCAAGCCCCCAGCCACGTGCTCTTCCCGAGACGGGTGCGGCGTTTGCCCGGTGAGGAGGCCAACACCGGCCTCGCCTGCAGGTGGACAGATGGGGCCCCGTTCTTGCCGGCCCACGGGCCGCCAGGAAATAGCTCAGAGCCTGACCCGTCCTGGTGCTCGAACATCCCTGCAAGCGCTGGACGGATGTGTGGGAACAGGGAGCAGAGAAGTCCTCGCGGGGCACCCGGCACCTTGCATTTGAGATGAGTCCCCCCTCGTGTCCCGTCCGGCTAGAGCTGAGACGGACGCCCCCAGAGGCAGCCACCCGGGTCCAACTCGCACAAGCCTCAGTGTCGCTGTGATTCTGACCCGGGTTCCCAAGAGATCCCGTTGCCCCTTACAGCGACCCCCTCGGCTCCAGCTGGCTCAGCGGGCTCGGCCTGGGCTCTCGTGGGGCCGCTGGAACGTGGTCCCATCCCATTGGTCAGGAAATGGGCCAGGTTCCGGGCCGCCGCCGAGGAAAGGAAGCAGGTGGGGGACGGCAGGGAAGGAGGAAGTGGCCGAGGCAGAACCGAGGAGGATCGGGCCACTGCTCCCCACGCCAGGCGCCCTTGGGCCTCCCAGCCCCCCCCCCCCCCCCCCCCCCCCCCGCCAGGAGCTGTCATCAAGCTTCACTCGTGCCTGGGGTCAGAGATGAGAGGCTGTTACAAATGGACACACAGTGCTCCTGGGGTGGGAGCTCTGTCACCACTCAGGACACAGGGCAACACAGAGTCCCCTTTCCAAAGGAAGGCGGGGGGGCGGTGGCAGGGCCAGGGCTGAGGAAGGGAGGGGAGGACTCCCAGCTGTGGCCATTGGGACCGGGTGCAGCCGGGTCTTGGGGACACAGGTGGCGAGGGATGGCCCTGTTCGGTCACGTTTCACATGGAGGTCGGTGAAACAACGCTAGGACGCACAATTAAGGGAATCCCCCTTATTTCAAGCCTCCCTGATCCCTGATGATGAGCTATGGGATTTCAAGCCAAAGCCGGAACAGGCCGGCGGGAATCCCCTCTGCACAGAGCACACAGAGACAGGAAAACACCCCCGGCCCCCCCCTCCAGGGACAACAATGCCAGTGTGGCTTCCTCCCGGCCCACCCCCTTCCCGACGGATGCTGGGGAGCAGGGCCCGGGCAGCGGACAGAGAACTCGGAGGCAGCAGCGTGGAGCCCCCAGCCTGGACAGCCCCACCGGCGCCCGGCCCTGTCTCCCCAAGGCACCTGCTGCCCATGGCAGGAGGCAGGACGCACACTGGGGCGGCCGGGGAGGCGCCGTGGGTCTGGGGTGCAGCCCAGATGAGGTGAAGGCCCCCAGAGGCGTTGAGCACCCCCACGAAAGCGGAGGAGCCACTGAAGCGTTTAAAGCCCGGAGTAGCGGGTTTGGTTCTGTGCCTTGGAAAGTTCCCTCTGGCACTTGTGCAGAACGAACTGAGGAGAGTGGAGACAGGGCCGCCCTGGGCCTTGGGTTTATTTCCTCCCCTCAAATTTTCACCAAAAACAAAGGGGCAGCTGGACCTTTACTAGACCCGGTGTGGAATATTTTCACAACTATTTACAGAACCCCATCCGTTCAAAGCCCCTGTTCCCGCCTCCCTCCAAACTCCCCAAACCCGAGGACTGCAGAGCGAGCCGGGTTCCCAGAAAGCCACCCGCACGTGCCAGGGCTGGTTCCGGGACAAAGAGAGCTCTCCTGACGCTGGAGGTGAGGGGAAGGGCGCCGGGCAGTCAGGAGGGGCGCAGGGGGAGGCGGCGACCGCGTGCGGAGGGGCTGACAGGTGGCCGTCCACGTCGCCAACGGCACGGTGGGGCAGAGCCCCAGAGACAGCCAGACGTCCGAGGTCGCTGCAGCCCTGCTGTCCCAAGGGGGGCAAAGCATGAGTAGCCTCACAGCTGCGCGAGTGGAGAGCGAGGGCGGGGGCCCAGACCTCGGGCTCCCACCCCCTGACCCCAGGGGACAGGCCGACCCCTCCCGCCTTGTGCTCCTCCCAAGCTGAACAGGACGCGCAGGGTCACCGGTAAGGCCCCCGCCCGCCCTCCTTCCTGGCCTTGGGGATTAGTGGTCAGGGCTCCCGCGGGAGCCCCTGCTCGGCCCCCGGCACACTCAGTCCAGCCACACGTGTCCTCCACGGGCTGGGCACCAGCAGGCGTCCCAGGGGCACTGGGCAAGCGGTGGCAGCTTGCCCAGGCTCCTGGACGGTGACTCGGGGCGGGGGGGCTCGGCCCCCAGGGGCTTTGCCCGGCCCACCGCCCCGCGGACCCTCCATTTCATTCCCCGAAATGCTAGAGCCACTCCTGCCGGGGCCTTCTCAGCCCATTCCAAGCCAGGATCGCCTCTACGATCCGAACGACAAAGACGGAAAGAAGGAAAAGTCGAACAGCCACAATGGCCGCAGAGGCAGGGCTCCCCGGGTTTCTGGCGCCCCTCGTGTGGCCTTGCCAGACAGCCCCTCACTATGGAGAAACAGGGACCCTCCCCCCCCCACAGGGACCAACACTCCCCCAGCGGCCCAAGGCCCCCAAGGCTTACAGAGGCGATGCCCCTGCCCCTCCTCCAACCGGGACCTGATTCCCATCTGAGGGGCACAGCCTGGGGGGGGGGTGGGGCAGGAGGCACCTGACCCAGGGAGCAGCCAGCACCCCACCCCCCTGCACACGGCCAGGCCCCGCAGCCCCTCCCCTCTCCAGGGATGCTGCCAGGGCCCAGGGGAAGAAGCCCGCTGGGGTCTGCAGTCACCCAGGGCCGTCTCCACACAGCCTCGTCACTCAGGCCCTGGGGCCTGCACCCCCTGCTCCCCGCGCCGTCTCCCTCCTCGTAAAGCACCAGGCCCCCTCCGCATCTTCCTGGATATGGCTCCGCGTGCCGGCCGCCCGCCCCAGCCCCCAGCCACGTCCAAGCCCCAGTTGATTCTTTCCCTTCTCGCCTCACCAACGCTGCTCCCCACACCTGCTCCCGCACCGCTGCCCGCCACAGGTGGATGTCAGGACCGGGGTGCTCAAGGGGCTTTGAGGTCAGTCCGCCGTCCTTCTGCCCTTCCATTGCGAGGCCCACGCAGGGGCCCAGGCCTCCCACCCCGCCGGCCACGTCACCCTTCAGGGGACAGGTCCGCGTCCCCACCTTGGGTACAGGAGGGGCCCCGGCAGCCGGATGTCAGCCTTTCGTTCTGCCCGCCTCTGCCCGCGGGTCAGGACTCGCCCGTCCGTGTGTGCGTCCGGGCCCATCGTCCGGGCTCCTGGCAGCCTCAGGGACAGCTTCCTGAGGAAAGGGGAGGCTTCCTGGGCTCACGGACCCTCCCCCCTGCTCAGTGATGGATGTGCCCGAGCAGGCGGGGCCCCCAGTGACAGGCCTCAGCCCGGGGTTCCTAGTTGCGGCCGGAGATGAGGAAGTGAGCCCAATCTCTGCCCAGAGTTCCCTCCCCGCTGGTTCCTATAATGGCCTTGCCTGGCCTCACAGGCCGTGGCTCCCGCCGTAGACGCGGCTCCCACACTGCCGGGGCCGCTGACCTGCGGTCCTGGGGGGCTGCTCGCTGGTCACCATCAACGGTAGACTCTCCCTTCCGGCCTTTCCCTCTCTGTTCGGTGTATCTGGGACAAACCCAAGGGGCACCTGCTGGGTCCGCAGCAGCCCCCGGGCCCTGGCCAGCGCCCAGCCCAGGAGGGGGGAGTGTGGCCCCAGAGCACAGACACGTGGGGTCGGTGGGCCGGGAAAGCCTGCGTGCCCCCCTCAGCCCACCTGGAGGGTGAGAACGAAGACTCGCGCCTCACGGGGGCGTCGACGCAGTGCACAGATGGTACTCCAGGGTGGCAGCTGGCACTTAACAAGTGTGGGTTTAGCAGAGGGCGAGATTGTACCCTTCCAGCCTGGAACACGTTCAGGGAGGTCTGGTCGGAGCATTCACTGGGCTCGTACTGAACAAATACCTTGTGGGCCCACGCAGACCTTGTCCAAGCTCCAAGAAGCATCTCTTCACAGCTGTCTGGTCACCCCGAGACTGGGGTGACCAGTGTCCCCCAGATTCGTACCCACCAGGGAACCTCAGAAGGCGTCTTATAAGAAGAGGAGGGACACAGACAGACAGACAGGGGGTGGGGGCCATGTGACCACAGAGGACAGACGGAGGATGTGGCCCACCGCCCAGGAGCGCCTGGAGTCCCAGGAAGAGGCGGGAAGTTCCCTCCCCTGGAGCCCCTGGAGGGAGCTGGACCCTGGAGACACCTTGATTTTGGACTTTGGGGCCCTGGACCACGAGAGAGTCAGGTCTCATCGCCGGCCGCCGCGTGTGGGGCTGTGTCGCGGCAGCCCCGGGGAACTAATTCACCTGTGACCCCCACGCCTGCTTTCTCTGCCGGAGGCAGGGTGGAGCCCACCCACGTCATGGGATTTTGTGAGAATCAAGTCAGAACGGCCCATACGGGACGCGTCGTGGTCACTGACAGCGGTGTTGACGTTCTGAACAGACAGCACCCCCAAGTGCTAACCAAGCACGGCCGTTTAATCTTCGTGACGACCCAGGGAGCGGGAGGAGGGGGCTGCCACTGTGCCCTTTTCACAGGTGGCCAACCTGAGGCTTACAGCCAGGGACCCGGCCCCGCCGGGGGGGGGGGGGGGGGGAAGCACACATGGGATTCGAACCCAGAGGAGCCGAGTGCAGCACCTGTCTCCAGCCCCCGCCCCGCCTCCCACCAGGAGTTCAGCCACAGAGCTGGGGGTCCTGGGGCGCCTGGAGGGGTCACTGGAAGCCGGGAGAGGGTCTCAGTTGGTGTGCTGGGAGCACGTACCCAGGGCAGGA